GTTAAAAAAGCAACTAAATGCATCGTTAGCCGACCAAAATACCAGGCGGCTCGAGCAGACTTATCAAAACAGCGCACACGTATTGACTATTACTCTGCGTCTGGCAGTTACGCAGATGCTTACATACACGCAAAGTGTAACGCACACAGTTACAGCGTAAACTGATGATTCTGTATTACGTTCATCACATATGAATCCGGTAATGGTTGTAGGAACATTGTTTTTAATTCGGATATTGCGATTTGTAAAATGCGAAATTTGTAGTGTTGTTAATTGCAAAGGAGAGCATGAATCTTACGCGCGTTGGTAACCTCGATTTGTGATCCCGTTAGCGTATGTACCACAGAATGCAGACACTTTGTTATTTAAATTATTCTCATAGTAAGTATACGTGTGATAACACAGTAAAACGATGCTCACGCTTGAGGTCTATGTATCGAATATTAGGCCTCTTGTGTGTCACTTGTGATTTGGTTGAATCATGATGCTCGCTCTCGAGGTTTATGTTTAAGTTTTAAGAATCTTGCGTGTCAGCAGCTTAAAGAAATCGCAAATCATTAGAGATAAACGAATTTAAAACGATTATTAGGACAGCGCCAAATCACTGAGGTTGCTTATCCGCTTGTAGTTTGTCACAACATTTGTATGCGTTTGGCAGCTATATTTGCAATTCTAAATTATCTTTTAACGATCTAACTTTAGCGTACGCTATGTGCAGTAAATACATTGGATTTGTTGGTGCATCATCCTTTCTCTTTTAGCTTGTTGCGCATAATTGATATATTATTTATGCATTTTCTATGTTAAATGCATTGTTATGTCGACATACGTATAAGGTGTATTGTGCATCCTCTGCTCAACTGGGTTGATTAATGATACTAATAATCGCCATAATCCGTAAAAGTAGGCTTCAAACCTTGTAATGCAATCTAATTTCTTAAATTTACTTAGTAATATAAAACGTCAGGCACGGTTTTTAAGTAACTGACATTACCATATCAGTATCCACTCGTAAAGACTTACATGTTACGTATGAACGCAAACAAAATGTGACTTTGTGACTATTCGTAGTACTTTGGATCTGGTAATCGTTTACTTACGACTTGTAGAAAATGGCCGCAGGTGTACCGACAGATGTGTAATCTTGGTACGTTGCCGTCTATCATCGTCTATTTGTTGGCCTGATTTATACACATAAATTTTTGGCACCGCTAGCAAACGAAGAAGTATCTGTCGATGCGGCAGAGAGTAGACATGTGTCAAAGGATTAGGTGCCAGACAGTCCCACGACAAACACTTTTTCTTTCACATCCTACTCGCGTCTCGCTATTCGATACCTTTATCAGGATTAGTTTCAAAACTTTATCCTTCAGTGTAGAATCGCATAAATATACTGAATAACCGTTCTCTTCATGGTAAAGGAGAATGGAGATGCAATTGCTATGGAGTTGCTGTATGCCCCTAGAGAGACAAACACATGCTAAGTTTTGTTTCTTCCTGCTTGTAACATTAATTACAATGATTACATTCTGGATGCAGCAATTATATAAAGTTAGCTCATGGATCAAGAAACAAGCCCTAAGGTTATGAGCGAAAAATGTTTAAAATTAAGATAAAATTGTACATTCCAGCAATTCTCGACGTTGGCCAGACATGACTTATACAGCCCAATCGGAAGGCAATATTTTTCGAACTGGCAAACACATATCATATCATTATCCCTGGTACTCATAATTTTCAAAAGTGAAAAGTTCCTAGCAAGCTAAAGTAACGAGGATGAAGGAGACTACACTTTTGTTCATCTACGCCAATTAGAATATTTATTCTTTATTTGATCTTGCTGCTTTCTCTCCCAGCTTTTAAGTGCTTCTCTTTTCGAATATATCGGCTCCTGTCGTTTTGCTCATAATGATATATCAGTTGATGATTGCAAAGATATGAAGCGCGTAGCGCACATGTATGAAACAAAAACGTATAGACTGAGTTCACGCAAACAGAAAAAGAAGAAAGAGTGCTGTTACTTTAAGACTACCTCGACAACAAATAAAATTTCATGGCAGATGTTTTTGTATAAAAATGCTCACCAATGTTTGGCGCAAACCTATTTTTCACTATTGGTGCTCAAATTACATATTTTGTATATAAATTCGAATCGTATCTTTGGACAGCGCTTCCCCTCGACCCCTGGACTTAGATTAGCGTGGATCAAATAAGGTCGATATCATGGGTCTGTCTAAACAAGCATCTTTCTACAGTCGTATACATCTACCCATCCGTCATTACCTCCTGATGGTCCTACGTGAAGAAAAATACACATTTAGTATATATAAATGGACTTATATTCAAATGCGCGCGAGACGCATATCGCTTTCCGCCGGGGCCTCGCCAGTGGCTTGTCAATTTATAGTTAGAACAAAAGAAATTAAATCTTTGACCTACATAATTAATGAATTTAGCATCTAGAACATTGCATATATGCTCTAGCATAGGTTGAATATATGGAGTCGATACAAGTACAACTTGCACTTATAACGCGACGTGCTGATCGTCTCTTCCCGCCCCATCTGTCATCTTGTCACGTGATAGCCAATCGGGTGATTTTCACCTTTCCTGTAAATCGTCTTGAGCTTGCGCTTGTATTTCGCAACCTCTAGAATAATTTAAAAAATGATATCTTTTAACATGTCGATTTTCCATAGTGGGCAAGATGCTTGAGCAAACTGTAAGTTCTACCCCGGCCGATTTTGGCCTTGTGTTGCGCAATGAGTCACTTTCGCGAAGCTCACAACTACAATTGCTGTTGTAATCAAGCGTGTCGACAATACATTATATAGACTTAAGGCAAGGTAACCGATGTATCATAAACTATTTGATGTTTCAAATTGCCGTGAAGAGAATGAGCTTCTGACCGAAAAGTGACAGTGTCGAATTAGGCGACACGAAAGCGAGAGAGACACGGTATTAATAATATTGTAATGGTTGTGTAATGAAATTGGGACTGTGTAGAACTATCTACGATGATATTGACAAACGCGTCGACGGGTCGATCGAAGAAGTGTTAGATTTGATTTCTACTCATCAAAGCGCCGAAGGTATAGTCTGTCGCTGCCTTCTACAAGGCGAACTCGCAACGAGATCGAGGCATGCGTATGTTATACATGTGCAAAAAGAGCCGTGTGAAAGCCTTGTGAAAAAAAATCAAATTGAAAGCCGAGCGCGTTGTTGGTGATGCATCTCTCTGCGCCGCGAGGAGGGTAACATTTCTTGCCGCGTATCTGTAATTCGTAGATGCGTCGGCTGAGGGTCGTTACTTGTTGTCGTGTCTTGTTCTTCATTTCTACCCAATAGATCGTCAAAGTTTTGCGAAGACGTATGCTTCACAGCTCTAGTATTTGCCAAGACCATGCAAGATCCTTCTATACTTTTGAGATGTCATCTTCTTTTGTTTATGTTACAGTACTTTGTCAGTGCGTACCTATACATGTGATTGGAATGTTAGCTATCAACATGTTGGACAACATGTACCGGTGTACCATCGCTTTTTGTTCATCCTTCAATGGATCTTACCACTCGATGGCTAGCGCCATGTAGAGACATGTCAAACAAAAGTCTAAACACTCGCAATTGCCGATGTATAGCTTACACGAGCTTACCCTATACTAATTCTTATTCAGCCAGTGTTGGGGATGCATCTCTTTCGCGTTGTACAGCTGGCGACGAAACCTCAAATGAATGAAGGCAATGAACCTATACAGGATGATTGCGGATGCACATGAGGCGTCGATGGTGTTAGTTTTGAAGACATGAACACTTCTGAGAGCCTCTTCCACGCAGTTTGTTAACTACACACTCGTGAGGGTCATCTGAAACAAATACACAACAGGTACATGCATAAGAATAGAATTCATTTTTCCAGACACGCTATGGTGTTTGCTTTGGTCACCAAGCCACGTTCGTACCAGACGAGGATTCAGACAGTTCGACGCGGATGTTGCGGACGTTTCAAGCGGTATATTGGTAGACAACTTGAGTGAATCAGAGTAGAAGTTTAACGATCGCAGGGCTCTGTACCGCTAGGCAAATGTAAGTATTATAAACAAGAAGGATCGATATTACAGACTGCAGTAGTCACTAGTGTTGCGTCAGGTGTAAGTTTGGCAAGAAAAAAGTGTTGTATGAACGTCATGAATGACACCAGCAACGATTTTAAAAAGGGTGAAAAGTACAATGGAGCTTACAGATTCAAGGCCCAATTTCCTAAGAAGTAGACCGCATCGCTACGAGCTAAAGCAGCCACGTCAGATATGTTGTTTGTCAATGGACAGCAGCTGCCTGTGGAACGTCTAACAGTGTATGTAAAACGTCCAACAATGTATGTACATGCCTAGAACTACTTGCCAAAAGGCACATATATAGTTTCGCGCTTCGATGAATGTGGAGTGTGCACAAGATTGCTATCGCAGAATTGCATCAAAACCTGAATAATGCGATTAGTTGCCACACACATTTGAGCTCAACTTATCGATGATTGTAGCATGTATAGTGTCGAAAACACAACCTGAGCAGTATGGTTAGCACCTTGACAATCAGGTGACAGGCGCAGATGCGAACAGAAGAGACATTTGTTTCAGCCATGACAGTAAGGCGTGGCAGCAATGGGGACATGCAGCAGACGCAGCGTGTCTATCCTTCACTTTGTTAGAAAATAGTCGGGTAAGGGTAATCAAAATTCATTATGTCATCATCTGCCTACACCACTGCACAGTGCGCGCGTGAGTTGATCAACACTTTGAGGTATGCAGTCACTACTCTGAACGTCTTGCATCATCGACACACCGTACCTCGCGGTGGCAAGCATTGCAGAATAGACAAACATGCAAACATGCAACAAGTCGCTCTGGTCTCGACGACAAAACCATGTATACAAGTTCAGCAGAAAGAACAACACGAGGTACACGCTCGCACTTGCTACTAGCTCAGCAACATCCATTTCCTTGGTTCTAGGTCGAGGCGCTCTTAGCCGCCGGTCGCATCTTTTTAAGCAAACTCGCAAGCTGTGTTTGCATCCGATGAAAGAACCCCTGGCTCGCGAGCGCTATACCCTCCTTCGATGTGTTCTTTCGACGAAGTCGATCCATGAGGGCTCCAAACGACTTCACAACCTTCTTTCCAAACGGTGCCTTCATCAAAGCGTCAGCCTTCGCCTTCGCCGCATTGTCCGCCTTCGCCAGCACAGCATCGTCCGCCCTTGCTGGTTTCCTGAACCCGTTACTTCGGGTGAGGGCCACTTCCTTCTTAACGTCATCACTTCGGGTGGCCTTCGCCGTTTCTGGGTTCTTCTTGGAACCAAATAGTCGAGCGAAGAAGTCACGGACCGTCGACGAAAGTGTTCTCTTCTTGGAACCTTGAGTTTGGATGGACTTCAAACCCGTCAACACTTTGTCATCCGCTGCCTTCACCTTCAGCACACCTGCAGCCACCGTCGCAGCATCGTCCGCCTGTTTCACCTTGAGCGCAGCTGCAGCTACTTTCGCAGAATCGCCCGCATTTTTCACCGACTGGCCAAACACATTAGAGTTTAAGATCTTAGAGACTGTACCGCCTTTTAAAACATCATCGATGACGCCGATGGGGCCATTTCTGGCCTCCTTGTCAGAGGCCAGCGGTGGTCCGCCATCGTGCAGATCCGCTTCGCCCAAACGTCTCTCCGTGTTCACTTCGTTGACGCGGTCGTTTGAGCTGCGATCCACAGAAAAATCGTCGGACTTGATAACAGCCTTCGGGACCGCGTCGATACAAACGAAGACGGTGACCAGAGCTGTCACTGCGGTGTAGGCTAGACGCATCCTGTCAGCCAGTTTGATCGACAATGTATAGTTGAGGTTGTGCTGCTATCCGTCGAATTGGACAATGACGTGCTGGGAGCAGCGCCAGTAGCTACTCGACCAATGTTTCAGCTATCGGATTGAGCAGGTCTCATCCCAAGAGAGGACCGGACTGGCTACTAACGCGTCAAGACGATTTCAAGATGTCCGTATGGGATGTGCCTTCAATTACAACGGAATCGCTCGCCTCTTCGCTCGCTCCCTCGCTCTCTTTTTTCTGCCAGCGCAAGACGACGAGCTGGACCTTCCAGCCAAGTTCAAAAGCCCAGTATGCCGACTCTTGCGAAGACTTTTTCTCTAATTGCTGTTGATAACGAAGCCCAACTCGAGAAGTGAGCAGGTCCAATCACGTGATACGCTCATGGGCGTAATGACGAACGACGACAACGCCGCGATATACGCAAGTCCGATCAAACGACGCACTTTATTGGTAAGAGCGCGAAGTCTGCTGTGCAGAACCTTTTCGGTACATTCCTACCTATGCGCCGTCAGAAATTACGTGTTAGGCAGCGTCAAGTACCATTGAGCGGCATACCGCACAGTACTCCCCTCCAACCATCACCTTCCGGTATTTACTGGATAATCGATCGCATGATTAATGTCCCCCACGACGGCGAACAGGAGCTCAAATGCCTGCAGCTCCGTATACGCAATTGAGCGCTGGTGCTCTCTGCGCTCCCGACACCACATGGCGTCCATCGCGCCGAAAAAATCTGTCACAGACGACATCCACATATGTATAAGGCGTTACAACAAAACGTTTTCACCAAGCACTTTGCCGCAACAACCAGCACCGACGGCAGTGCTTACGAGACTCCATCACGAGCTCGCAAGACGTGGTGACCTGCCGACGCCAACGTTGCCAGCGAAGCCTGGGCATACCGACCTGCGTTGACAGATATCCATGTTTGGGTATGCTACCAAGCAGCTCCCGATTAGGGTTTAAGTGTACTATCCGTACGAGCATACAATGTTACGGGCAAGCGACGTGATGTCTGCAGCGAGTAGCACGAAAGCTCGTGCATATTCTTTAGACTGCGCGAGAGCGGCCAAGGTGTCGGGGTCCATATCGTAGCCCAGCGGCCAGCATGATCAACAGCATCGGCCGCGCAACTGCTCTGTTGTAAGAAAGCAGCGTTACCTCAAACAGCGCCAGAGCTACCTTTTGGTACGGGCTGAGTGAGAGCGCATGCTTTCGGATCGCTGGCGCCGTCGGCCTGACCTAGAAACAGATCTGGTGGGTTGGTTGTCCGTACGTAAACTACGCTCAGGACTCGGCGCGACAGGCGGATAAATGAACAGCTGTGAACGACCACTGACCAGAGAAAGCGGAAGTTCAGCACAATCTCGTTCGACAGCTGCGACTTGTTGTTGCGACAAAGGAACAACAGCATGGCGGGGGAGGGTACGATTGCACTTTCACGCCTCGCTACAGAGATGCATCCAAATAGTATACCTAATCGCAAGCCAGTGTGGTACAACGAGTAGGCGACACGAGCCATCTTCGGGTGTACTACAATGACCAAAAACTCTTGAGGATTCGTGTAACCCCGTAACGGCAGAATGCAGTCTGCTTCTCTCTTCCAGGTACCTTCGCACCATCAGTGGTCTACATAAGTAGACGATATAAGAAATGTCGCGTTTGCATTGCTAAACGACCAAGAAGGGTAATGAAGCACGCCACTCTCTGCGTTTCCACGTTCGGCTGAACAACCGGTCCACGAACAGCCATATGGGGGACTGGACGTTGCAGAACAGATATCGTAGAGAAAGGATTCGACGAGCGGTTCTGGTTACGCCAAACGCCTTACTATGCGTTGCTTGATCATCTGCAACGTGACCGACATCGATCCGGTATGTGTGACACACTATTATTGTAATGAAACAAATTTGCGCAGAATACACGAAGGTGCTCTAACAAGATTTTATCAGACAATGAAGATATTTTCAACTGTTCGGATCGGTGAATGTGCAAATCAATTACAGGCTTGATATAATCTTGATTGTAACGTCAATCGACTGTTCATTTACATTTGGTGGTCGAGGCACCCGTTACTCGTTGTGCAAAAATATACGATGGTCCTTAGCTCGCTACCTCTTTTGCCTTTCCAAGCCTACTACTATACTTCTTTTGACTACGCCGTAGCAATTGCCATCGCTCATTAACGGTCGATATCCGGTCGAGGCTCTACTCCGACTGATATTAGAGGAAAAACGATTAAGCATTATACTTGTTGCATCTGCGATCCTGCTTGATCATGATGGTGAATGTTATTCGTTATTTCTCCCTTTACTGATCAAATGACGAAGGTAGAGTCTACATACACTGTAATAGATAAGTATACATCCCCTTCTCACTTACTGTATCCTATGATAGCTAGGCTACGCTCGACTCCATTTTGACGAGGCTCGAGAGCAGGTGGCGGTTACTAAGCAGAATCTTCAATATGGTTTATGGTCTCTGTCTGTTCATGGTAGGTGCGCGGAAAGGTAATGACCTTGAGATTTATGTATTTTGTGACTAGTTGCCACGGCACATAGGTTTTTGATTCACCGCCGGTATTATGATCTCTGTGTTTCTAGAACCGGGAGGAAGGCGGATTAATAACCGTGGAGGAGTGGTACGATTCACAGCAGCTGAGATGGTCTGCTTACAGCTGACATTCCATCCAACTGGACATCGGAAGCTGACGTTTATACATTTCTCTAAACATCTCTTTGCAAGCTGGGTCTGCTGCTCGAAAATTAAATCACATCTTGTGTACCCTTTGGTTGTTCTATGTCGGGCTCGTTGTATCTAATTTGGAAAACGTTGGTCTCGCTCAAGGCAAGATGTTGACTTGGACGATGCTGCATTTGTATCGTCATTTTTTAATAGGTAGATTTAAGGTGCGATCGTGGTTAAAGTTACCAAGAAGTTCCAATTCAGAGGTGCTCCGGCCTATATGTGCTTGGTCGAAATAAGTATCACGTGATCGCACATGTTTATTTATTGTCTTGCTTGAAGTGATCTTTAACGGCAAATTCAATTTTGCAAAACTGGTCATTCCCAACAATTTAATTTGATTTGCTTCGTCCTTTGGACTCAAATACAACATCATCTTCTTTACTCGTAAATAGAGTGATGAGCTATTTGACCTTGTCGATGCAGTCCTTGTATTCTTTGCTGCTCTATCTCATTTCATTATATATACGTTTAGTAGACTTGAGTTGACCAAACTATAATCGGCATGAATTAGGGTCAATTATGTACGTGGTTTCAGTCGTTAGGTGAAACAATAGTCAGACCGTAAAAGACATTAATGTTAAGGATGTAAATATAAAAGAATTTAATAACTACATGCATGAAATTATACGGAAAAATACCGAAAAGTTTTTTTTATACATTTCGCAATACGCAATTGCACACAAGAATCCACCTGAGGTATCGGGCCAAATTATGTTCGACGACCAGATTATTGCCGATAATCGGCAGTAGCCAATACAACGAAAGAGCTGACAAATCTGAGCGATACGATTGTCTCGTTTATAAATGAGTTAGTTCATGGCCACCCACACGCGCCAATTACAGGTTGATCATATATTGCAACGAAGAAAGATGAAGAAGAGGGAGGTCCATAGCCAAGACGATCTCGCGAATACTATCAGTGCTTGCGAGTGCTGTATCTCGTTGGACACCATTCGCAAATAATGTTTCACAATCCCGAAAAGTACGATCCGCCGCCGCGCTACCCAAAAGCGCTCTGGTGAGACAATAATAAGATAGGACCACCACCCGTTCTTTTCAGGAGATGTAAGAAGACCTCCAGACCTGAATAGTAGAAATGTAGCGAGAGGGACTCCTTGTTACTCGTCAAATGGTACTCAGCAAACCAAAAGAGACGTTAACGTTAATCGTATTTTACAGTCCGGCGCTATCGACTGGCATCCTGGGCGACGGATGGGTTTGGTGCTTAATTTTTCGTCACCCCAAGCTTTCACGTATATTCCCTTTAGTGATTTCTCGCGCACGCAACCAAGTCAGCCAATAGAATCTCGACTATATCTGAATCAGCTGATTAAGCACGCGACTTTGCGCAAACTAGCCAGCGACTGCGTTTTGAATATGGACAATACCGGATATGGGTAAAAAATTAAAAATAGAAAAATTCATCGATGTGCGTGGGTCGATAAACGTCTGGACAAGGTGCATCGACAGGAGCTTCCATTAGACGCTAGTAGCCCGTTTTAGTGCCTTCGGATTGTGCCTTTCGCCACTTTTTCTGCTGTTAGGCTAACGGTTGAATCGTGACTTCCTGAATTAGTGCTCCGTACATATTGCTTCTGTTGCCGTCGGTCCGGAGGGCTTTATAACCCATTCTATATTAGTATAGTGGCTGGAGCACTTTGCATCAAGCATACCCAGCAGCGTCATTCGACCACTGCTACTTATCTACGACTTTTGCGCAAGCTTTTCTGGCAATAGGTCATTGATAAGGCGATCGAGATGAAGATCATTATACTTCTTCTTACTCTAAAATACACACACATTATCCATCCTTTAAAATGTCTCTTTAACCAGCACTTCAAGAAGAGCCTGCTTCGATCCAAGGACCGCTTAATGACCAATGATGATGTGTCGAGTCTGACGTCGACACCAGCGATTTCATTATAATCAGGCGCGTGACAAAAGGTGTGATTGCCAAGCCAGATAATGTAAGATTTGGCTTTTCCAATGATTGCCTTTGACGAATCTCACCACCAAAAATGCGTGCACGTAGAAAAGTATACATCGATTGAGTTGTTTAAAAATGATATATACCAAGCAACCCGGTGTGGCTCACAGTACGACAAGAGATCCGTACGGGGGTAATATTCTTTTATAAGTCGTCGACGTAAGGCAAAGGAAATCGCGAGACAGTATATAATATTGATCGCATCATGACCCAATATCAGTTGTTACAGATTGAGTTATACAATTG